AGGAGTTACACACGATAGTTATTGGTCAGCCAACCATTATGAAAGAAATGGGTAGTTACAAGTAGCTTCTAAACGATTAAAACTGTCCAAGCCGTATAAAAGAAAGAGGAAGACAACGAAGACAAGGACCAACAAAATTCACTCTCAAACAGAGAACATGTAATTTACTTTTTTTAGATTAATCTTAATTACTTCAATTCCCTTGTACTTGTGTGTTTGGCCCCTTGGAGGCATCTTGTTCGTATCCAAACTGTAATCTTCATATTCAATAAACATCCATTTTTGGAACTTTGTTCCAAGAGGTTTGTCCCTTACACAATCGTCTGATCCTTTTTAATTGTTAGCAAGTAAACCCGCGCGAAACAGAAGTACATAATTTATCATCATATTTTGTGTTTAAAAATTAAAAAAACTTCATAGTTGAATTAAGTCACCACTGAATTCGAGTAGTGGTGGAGCCAACTGATTAGCAAATAATGTGTAAGACATGAGAAATGCTCCTAGGGTGTGCGATCCTCAAATAGAAGCCTCAACACATTTTATACATGGCATTTGTTCACTAGAAAAATGTAAATCGATACATTGGAATCTTGAACTGTGAAAATACAAACAAAAATAGTGGGAAAAAGAATCACAAAACACACTTTAGTTTAGAATATTAGCCAGAAAGAAGTTTTTTACATTAGAGGTAAAGAATAGAAAAATCAAATCATCAAGTCAGTATCATGATTTACATTGATCAGATGTGAGATTGTTAGTAGCTCTAGCAGTTAGATAACCTCCCTACAGTCTCTGACTTTTCGACACTCAGTGATGCTTTATCTTTCAATTACTCTGGTTACAGACGAATACATGAAATAGCACGTGAAGTACTGTTATATGAGAGCAGTGGTGAACACCTGAACCCTTTCGATCTTTCAGACTTCATCCTTCACGAATCGAGATCCTTGGCTATCAAAGCAATCCTCTGCTTAGCACTGTCCGACCGAAGATTGTCTCCTTTAAATCCCAGCTAAAGTTAAAACAATCAAAAATACATTGTTCAATAAGCAGTTAAAAAAAAAAAGCAAGGGAAATTGGAAATGATTTGATTCGAGCCAATGGAAAATTGAACACTATTCAAAACAAGTAATTACCTCACTTTGACTATCGGGTAGGAACCACCGTAACAGAACACCAAGGTGTACAACTGCAGGAATTAACTTGAAAAGCAACGGAGTAGTCACCTACCACACATAATAAAATACTAAAGAGCACTGGCAAAAAGTATGATACAGGAAGTATTAATTAGTTCTCGCACATGCACGTTGCCGCGTGGGTGCATACGTGGAGAGAGGGAGAGAGAGAGAGATGATGAGTCCTTTGAAATTTGCAAGCTGTATATCCATCTTGCTCAGCATAGATTTAGAGAGATATTAATGGTACTTTAAAATTTACACACACGACTAACCGCAGTTTGTCTTCCATCTAAATCTATCAACATGAGGTAATTGATTTAGCATACAAGAAAACAATATCAAAACCAGTAGACCTAATATTTAAATGAAATGAAAAGGAATCTGAAATTGGCAGCATAATATCGAACCTTTTCCTCATGGATGATAGTTAACATGAACACTTTGAGATCGAAATCAATGTCCAGGTGCACAGAGTGAATTGGTGTGGGGGGGGGGGGGGGGGGGAGGG